GCCTGGCACTGAAGTTGTTTGTATATGTTATAGAATTTACTATAAATTATTGCATACTTTGAATCCTATGTGCAAAGTAATTGATTTTAAAAATGAAACTATTTTAATTGAAACTAATTTTGATAAATCTAAGGTAGTCACAAGAAGACCTATCAAGTGGGAAGAAATTGATTTTCCACAAGAGTGGGTTATTGAGAATGCTACCCAACCTAGAAATAATATTAATACGGATATTTCTGAAATTGAACAGTTAATAACATGCAAATTGATAATTATAGCATGTTCTCTAGAATAACTAGATCTAATTCTTCTTATATATCTCCTGTCGATTATATTGTACAGATTCCTTCGTGTGCATCTACCTCGCAAATTAGAGAAACTTATAGATGCGATAATATAAAAATTGATAAAGATAATATTGCTAGACCTATCCCCAGACCTAGCTCAGATTTAGATGTAACTGAATTTGAAATGAATTTTCCTGATGGACTAGATTCGTAATATTGTTTTATGATGTCTGACAAATTGATAGATTTTAGTCCGGGTTCCCCGGCAAGAGCCAGAATCGCTAAAGATTTTCAGCGAAAAAAATGGTAACTATTTAGAAAATGGTTTTTTAAGAATTTTAATAAAGAAGAACAATATAAATTTCAAGAAGAATTTTATAAAGATCTTGTTGATTCAAAAATTAATAAATTAGTTGCATTCGTTCCTTGGTTTATGTATAAACATGCTCATAACTATATCTCAATGCTAGAAAGAGATTGTCGCTCATAGCAGTCTTCAGCCTCCGCCAGAAATTGATGACTTCAAGATCAAGGATTATTCAGACCTTGAGAATTTCTTGGAAAAGAAATTCAAAGGAGGTGGTGTAAAACCTATAAATGCTGAGAATTTTTCAGAAGGAGAACCTAGTAATAATAATAATTTTTCTGATGATATTAATAAAATCTCAGAAAGATATGCAAGGAAACCGATCCAAAGTACGTACTACTATCCTAGGCCCACTCCATAAGATGTTTTGTTGGAAGAACATGGAACACATTATAACTAATACTTATAATGGTAAGGAAATCAATGAATGGAACATCGATGGTTATACCGATAGACAAATTTATACAACTGTCCATCGAATGCTTATGTACAGTACTATCTGTAAAACTAACAAAAATAGTGATAAGACTATCGTTGATATGATAACAACAGGTTTTACTGGCCAATTAAAAGGTTGGTGGGATAATTATCTCAACCAGGATCAAAGAGATAAAGTTCTCATGGCAGTAAAACAAGAAGGAGAACAATATACCCAGAATGCAGTTTATACACTGGTTCTAAATATTATAGAACATTTTCAGGGAGATGGTCGGATAATAGTGAAACCATCAGGACTCTACTTCAAAACCTGAGATGTAAGACTCTTACATCATTTAGGTATTATAAGGATGTGTTCTTATGTAGAGTTATGGAATTACCAGAGTGTAATAGCACTCATTGGAAATCCAAGTTTATAGATGGGTTACCAACTCTCTTTGCAGAAAGGGTCAGGAGGCCATTAGAGGAGAAAATCATAGTATTAATTATGATGATTATACCTATGGAAAGCTTATAAGTACTTGCGTACAGGAAGGACTTTCCTTGGTGTAATGAAATTAAGTTGAATCAATAGATTAAGCGACATCGCTTAAATGAGAGAAAGCAATTAGGAGAATTCTGCGAACAATTCGCATTTGATTATAATTAATTTAGATATTCTCTAGTAAGAAAGTCTGGAAGACTATTATCTTCACCTTTTTTATATTGTATTTCAAAATAAAAGGGCGCTAGTAAAGCTTGCCATCTTGCAAACATTTGTTTAGAAACATCATGTTTACAATCTTTGTTAAACATAAACTTAGCTGCTTGACAATCAATTTTTATTAAAAACTTTTGATTATAAAGATCACCTTGAAATTTAAGAACACATTTTACAATAGCTAAAATTTCTTTAGCTATAGTGGCATAATTTTTATGGGCTGTATTCTATTTGCCAGAATAAAATTGAATGATATAATGACGTTTATTATCAGGACAATATTGAGTTAATACTCCACCATATCCTATATCTGAAGCATTCGTTTCTATCGTTTTTACCCAATTTGGATTGGCCAACGTTAGACAAGGAAGGTTTTTAACCTTCTCTTTAATTCTTTTGACTGCTTCAGTATGATCATCTGACCATGCCTTAAGATTATTTTTCAGTCTGTCATATAAAATAGCTGTATCTTTTGCCAAATCCTTTATAAAAGGAGCAACATAATTAAGACTCCCAAGAAATCTCTGCAACTGAGTCTTGTTAGTAATAACAGCAGGAAATTTAGAAGCAAATTCAATACTTCTATTGATAGGGCTGATATTTCCTCTTTCAATATTATGTCCATTTAGGGCTGATATTTCCTCTTTCAATATTACGACCAAGAAACCTGACATTTGTTTTAAACAAAGCCATCTTGGGTTGTGATAAAACCAAGCCATTTTGTATAATTATCTTTTTAAATAATTCAAGATGTTTAAAATGAGTTTCCACATTTTTGAAAAATACTAAGATATCATCTATATAGACTATTATGAAATTACTGTAGGGTATGAATATATCATTCATTATTTTCTGAAATTCAGATAGGGTGTTCTTTAAACCAAAAGGCATAACATTCCATTCAAATTTCCCCATTGGCACATTAAAAGCTGTTTTGAACCTATCTGACTCAGCTATCTGAATGTGCCAATAACCTGATTTTAGATCAAATTTAGAAAATATTATAGCATCATAAACTCTATCTAATAAATCCTTTTTATTAGGAATAGGATATGTGATCCATCGTAACGCTTTATTAAGTGGTTTATAATTTATTACCAGTCGAGGTGCTCCTCTTTCTTGCTCAGCATGTTTATTAACATAGAAAGCGGTGCACGACCAAGGTGATTTGGACTGCCTTACTTTTGAAGTAAGGAACTTATTTATGATAGTAAAATTAACAATTTTATCATTTTTGTAGTAGTACTAGTAGTAGTAGTAGTAGTTAGTTTGAATTGATTTCCTACATTTGGGCATTTAAAAGTATAAATTAATTATACCTTGTTAATAATTAATTGAAAAAAAATATAATTCCTTTTATTTATTATAAAAAAGAAATAATCATATATATATATACCCTAACTTAAATTAGATAATACAATTCATAAAGTGCCGTGCCTTTCCCCTTCTTCTCCCAAGAAACCATTCGCCTGCTCTGTTTCTTTTCAAGAAAAAAAGTTTTCTCCTCTGTTCTTTTTCAAGAAAAAGACTCTGAATCCTTTGTTCTTCCCCATGGAGCCTTCGTCTCCTCTGTTCTTATACAAGAAAAAAGCTCTGCCTCCTCTCTCTCTTCTTGTAAGCTTTGTCTCTTCTCTATTCTTTTCCATGGAGCAACCAGATCTCGTGACAACTTTGTCGGAAAAAAGTCGTCAACTTTCAGCGGCCATGAAACTAAACTCTTCTTTCCCAAATTTTTTCTTGGCTTTGGTCAAAGTATCTGGATCGGATTGACCGAATCCGACATGCACCCCGCACCCGCGCCCACACCAGTTTCGCATCGAGATGGGTTCAGCTACAAAAATGAAGAGTCCGCGCAACATAGGCAATGAGAGCTACAAGGTGCCAAGACATGAGGGTGGGGTGCATTGGCAATTAATATAAGGGCGGGAGAGACATTCTCTAGGGCCTCCGGTAAAGGGGAGGAGGCGGCGTAAATATAATGGAGTGATGTGGTTAGGTTTTGGATGAACGATGCAATTTCTTGGAGATTGCTGAGAAGGTGATCAATTGGGCTAGTATTGGAAAATAAGCATTTCTAAGCTATCTGTTAAGCTATGTTGCGGGGACTCTTCATTCATTTTTGCAGCCGAACCCTTCTTGACGCGACACTGCTACTAGCACGGGTGCGGGGTGCGTGTCGGATTCGGTCAATCCGATCCGGATACCTTGATCAGAGTCGAGAAAAAAATTGGGGAAGAAGAGATCAGTTTCATGGCCGTAGAAAGTTGACGACTTTTCTCCGAAGTTGTCACAAGATCTGGTTTCTCCATGGAAAAGAATAGAGAAGAGGCAAAGGTTGCAAGTACAGAGAGAGGAGCCAAAACTTTTTTCTTGTATAAGAACAGAGAGGAGACGAAGGCTCCATGGGAAAGAAGAAAGGATTCAAAGACTTTTTCTTGAAAAAGAACAGAGGAAAACTTTTTTTTCTTGAAAAGACATAGAGCAGGCGAAGGGTTTCTTGGGAGAAGAAGGGGAAACGCACAACACTTTATGAATTGTATTATCTAATTTAAGTTAGGCTATATATATATATGATTATTTTTTTATAATAAATAAAAGGAATTATAATTTTAAATAAATAGTAACAAGTTATAATTAATTTATACTTTTAAATGGTCCAATGTAGGAGAGTGCATTATTTGGATTAAATCGAAAAATCAAATCAAATTGAATCGAATTCTAATTTTATTTAGTTTATGTTTGTACATCTATAATATATATACTTTTAAGTATAGTGTTTTACGTTTTACTTGTGATTTATATTAAAAAGTATATTTAATATTATTATTATTACTATTCTACTTATTTTTATTTTTATTTTTATTATTATATATATATATTTTTTATTATTATTATTGAATATTTTTAGCCGAATCCCTGCACCCGTATCTATACTCAGATTCGCACCTCGAATCTTAAAATTTAAATTTTGCCGAATTCAACTCTCGGATTCGCATCTGTCTCGGATACCCGCATCCGAGTCCGAGCAACTTAGCTGTTAAGTAGCGGTGGGACTTGGTATACAAGCAATGTAGGATGAGTTATGTTTGTCAGCTAAATATCATTTTCCTTTTCCAGAAAGGTATTGTTTTGATTTTTTGCCTTTTGCTTCTTCCTCTTCCTTCTGGTGAAAATTCATCCTGTACTAGTACTTTCTTTCTGTGGACAGATTCCGCCTCCCCAGTGGGGATCAACTCTGTATCATCAGTGTTCAGTGAAAATACCTGTATGAGGGATTCTCTGCTGGTGCATCATCAGCTTTCTCAACTGCCTGTGATAGTTGATCTGTCTTGAAGTCAACTACCAGATGCACACCTTTTTGTTCAATGATTTCTGTTGGCAGATTAGTTGAACTAGAACTGAAGTCTTGCTGAGAAGTCTCTTCTATAGTATCTTCCTGTTCCTGTCCAATCTGCTGCTTACAACCATTCTCCTCAATGTTACTGGATTCCTGTACCTTCTCCTTTGAAGTAGAAACATTAGTTGTTTCTTTAGTTTCTACTGTAACCTCCTTACTTTATTCATTTGCAATTGTCCCCACTTGATCATTTTGAAGTGAAAGGTTCTGGTTCTTCTGTGTATGCTGACTTTCACCTGATTTGGATTGCTCCACTTGGATTTGCTTGGTAGTGTAAGTAGACAATCCCCTACATCTTTCTTATGATTGAACGCGCTTAAAAAAATAACTCAACTCCTCTATTTTTGGCATCTTTTTGAGTTTCTTCTTCTTTTTGTACTTTTTACTCACTCTTTCAGTCACTGTGGGCATGTCTATGGGTTTGATATCATTATTGTTGTGAGATCGATCCCCTTGTAAATTTTGTTGCTTCTTTTTCAGATTACTCTCACCTTTTCCATCAGTATTATCATTGTCAGACTGCACCGCATTTACAGGTACAACCATGCTTGGTATCAACTCATTTTCTTTAGTCTCTGTGGCTTTCTCTTCTTTTTTTTCCCAAACCCTACAAATCATCATGGAGTCTCCTCGTATTCAAGTTTTCTGGACATAAACCTTTGGAGGTTGCATTCTCTCATCCTCCAATCCTACCCATACTGCATACAGTTTTAGTTTGGGTTTAAGCAAATCTACTTCTACCCTCACTTTGGCCATACTAGCTGTCCTGCTTCTATTCGCAGCATCGGGAGCAAGAGGGTTGGGATATACTACTAACTATGTGGTTAAGTTATAGTATTATATTTTAATCCCGTGTGAAGATTGTTTATTTTATTTAACTTTATATAATAAGTCTTTATTTGAATAGATCATTTGGTTTATATGTATGTTCTTTACTTTATAGTAGATGATTTTGTGTATGGAGTTATTTAACTCATTCACGGAAGATTAGAATTGTTAGTTCTTATAAGTTATAAATTAATGTTCACGATCAAAGATGAAGTAGGACAAATATCTTGATGATTGTAGCACAAAATTAAGTACAATTCAATCTTAATTATGGAAATGTTAAATTCTAACTTCTTGTGCTAGTCATTCCGTATGTATTGAACGGACCAAGTAGAGAGGTTCATTTATGTTCTGAATATTTATAAACAACTTGTCTAGTCCACTATATTATATGTACTTATACTCTTAATGTTGATATAATTATTATGATCTATGTAATTTGATTCATTGTTTTAATATATTAAAAGGTGAGACTCTATTATGATTCAAAATATTTCTAGTAGATTGGATAATGACAAATCACATTCGTGAAATAATAATTAGTTGATAGAACATATCTCTGTTTTGAGATAGAAGACACTCATTTATGATTACTTAAAAGTTTTCACGTGAAAGTGGATTTCATATCCGTCATGTGAAATAAGTTGTATAATAAAGGATTAAGTTAGTTAATAAATTAAATTATCAGAAATTTGATTTAATTGATTGGTGTCAGTAATTCTAACATGAGGAGTTAAATAAGATGTAATGATATATTTCAAAATTAAATCGAGGAGTGCAATTATAAATTTTTAGTGGAATAATTTGTAACTTATTACGATACGATTAATTCATTCTTTTGCGAATTAACATTGTGATTGGAAACTTCAGTTAAACAAATCTGTTGTACCCGACTAATTAATTGTGTTTGGGAGAAGATAAAAAAGAGCGTTACAGAAGAAGTGATATATTTATTGGTCTTCTATATACATTTGAATTACAAACATTTGATTATTTGAATGTCAAGGGCAAAAACATTTTGCTAATTAAAGCAAAAAGACGTTTTTGTTTAATGGCTCTTTATTGCCTCTTGATTGCTCTTGAATTTCCATATTGGCTGAAATTCGTATGCCAAATTCTAGGGGTGTACAAAATCGAACTGAAAATTGAATCAAATCGTAAATCGAGTCAAATCAAAAAAAAATCCGACTAGTGATTTGGTTTGACTTGGTTTGGTATTGGAAAAAAAAACCCGACTATATTTGGGTTGGTTTGATTTTAACTAAAAAAAATCAACCCGACATTATATGTAATTTTAAAATTTTATTTTATACATAAAAATATTTACTTTGATATAATTTTAAAATATTTCTTATACTATTTCATAATTTTTATCTTTTAATATATTATTTCAAGTTTAAAACTTATAATTCGGAATGGTACAATAAAGATTGTAGTTCATAGATGTTGATAATTATAATAAAACTTAAATCAAAATCAAATTAATACTAATGCAAAAAGGAAATCAATTCAACACTAAGAATGACAATAATATTGAATATTTGTTCTTTAGTTTTACATTGGTTTAGACAATTAAAATACATAATCTAATTT